ATACTTATAGATACAAAACAAAAAATGCTTTTGATACATACTTATAGATACAAAACAAAAAATGCTTTTGGTACTTACTTATAGATACAAAACAAAAATGCTTTTGATATGTACTTATAGATACAAAACAAAAAATGCTTTTGGTACTTACTTATAGATACAAAACAAAAAATGCTTTTGATATGTATTTATAAATACAAAACAAAAATGCTTTGGATATGTACTTACAGATACAAAACAAAAAATGTTTTGGATATGTACTTATAGATACAAAACAAAAAATGCTTTTGATATGTACTTATAAGCTTTCTAAAGGCAGATTCTCTTTCAGCGAACTCAGTTTTTTGTTTAGATTTTTGAAATAGGTTACCCTATGAAATGAGTTTGGTGACTTGATCATTTGGTTTATCACATAAATTTGATATATTTTCTTGTTTATTCAGTTCTTTGTATGATTGTATATTCACATATTATTGAAAAAATGTTCAGGGCTTCGTCTATAAAATAATTAAAATAAAATGTCTGTTCAACAAAAATTTCCAGTGTTAATGCTTTGTAGTAAAATTCTACTTAAAATATTTTTGAAAAAGTGATAGTTATAAACTTATTGTTTGATATTGTATAAATTATGAGGATTTAAGGTTTTTAATTTTTTCTCTGCCTCTTCTGAATATATAAAAACTTCAAAAGTTATTAATAGAAGCTTGATTAATTAATGTATAATATTTCTCCATAATTTTGCTAATATTTATGAAATATCTGGTTTAATGAGCAGTGTTTTGTAGCATTATGTTTGAAAGAGTTAAGTTTGCATGTTTTGAAATATAGTCATTAAAAGCACAACAGTATTGAAAATCATGAAAAACTTGAATTTGTAATTACAATCAGGAGAAATTAAGTTTATAATTACTTGCAGAGTATTAGTATGAAGCTAGCTCTTTTTACTTTGAAGGTAATAATTATTTTAGCAAATTTTAGTTTAACTAAAGCATAATATTTTCTGTATTGAATAAAACATAAGTATGTTTAAAGTGCAATAAACAATAAATAACTTGAGGCACATCTTTATGTACATCAGAGGAAGTATATGTAAAACAATAAGATGTTGAATATGGTTTCTGTACTGATTTTCCATACCATGGATTGGAAGTGTTCGTGTATTCTGAGATTTCAGTTTTAATCATTTAGATACAGAAAGTGTGAGATTAATTAATTATGTCAAGTTAATGTTTTCAAAAGTTGTATTTTAGACTTCTGGTGCTAATAATATATAGTTAGGCTGTTTTATAACTCTTAAGTTATATATAGAAATTTTTATGGTGAGTTCACCTTAAAATTGATATGAATTTTCAAAACAAATGCTTGTATTTATGTATGCACATTAAATCTGTAGTTACACTCACAGTCACAATTGGAGAAAGAAGATCTATTGATCAGTTTACAAACTCCCATCTTCAATTTAAAATTATTTACATGAATATTTGTTAGAAACTGTGAAATAGCTACTATAAAGTTTACTCAAGTTTGTACAACCTTCCATGTACCTGCCAAAGAAGCAACGTTTCCACAAATCTAAGATATAGGTTATTACTAATAATGTTTACTGTAAACAGTTTTTCTTCTTCCTTCAATAAAGGTACATGTGTGGACCAACAGTTTATGATGAATCGCACATTGGACATGCCTGGTAAGTTAACTTTTTTTTTTTCTATGGTTACTTGCTGTTATAATTAAGGAATTAAACAGATGCTTTGGTTCATTAATCTCTTTAATATTTATCAAATCCTCATTTCAATGATAGAGAACTTTGTCTAAAAGATCTGAAGAAGTCAAATAGATCAGACTGTATACTAGGATCGGTCTGTAGGATGTGGCTATTGCAGTAAGTCCTTGTTAATTTAATTATTAGTTAATTCTGGTTTCTTGTGCTATCCCTGATGATTGGCTAACCCTATGATATGTGGATGTGGCCTTAACCCTATGTGCATGGATGGGGATCAAAGTGTGCATACCACAACTTTTTACATTGCATTATTTCTTGGCAGAGGAGAGTGAATACCATATACAACACACAGAGATACTGAAAAAACTGTAGATATACATATCAGAGGTTATGAAGATGCAATATGCAAACTATATGGTGGACAAAAATACTTTTATTCCTCACATGAACATCACCTTGCACTTTGACGTGCCAGAGTCTGAGTCAGACTAACATTGTCAATTCACAGACATATCTTGAAATCAAATACTCTCAGAAATGCTACTCACCTCACTGTACCACTAAGAGCTACTACTTCATGCACATTGCCTCGTGCATTTCCGCACATGCCACAAACCTTCGACAAAGCTTCCACCCTTATACATGTCAGTGTGTATTGCACCAGCGTATGATGTAATGATCATTAAACTATAGCTCTCCACCAGTAATTCACACGGTAATCTCCATCAAACACTACCATTTAAACATAGTTTCATCAGTAATCTCTATCAAACACTAACATGTGAACATAGTTCCATCAGTAATTTCCATCAAACACTAACATTTAAACATAGTTTCATCAGTAATCTCCATCACACACTAACATTTGAACATAGTTTCATCAGTAATCTCTATCAAACACTAACATTTGAACATAGTTTCATCAGTAATCTCCATCAAACACTAACATGTGAACATAGTTCCATCAGTAATTTCCATCAAACACTAACATTTAAACATAGTTTCATCAGTAATCTCCATCAAACACCAACATGTGAACATAGTTTCATCAGTAATTTCCATCAAACACCAACATGTGAACATAGTTTCATCAGTAATCTCCATCAAACAGTAACATGTGAACATAGTTTCATCAGTAATTTCCATCAAACACTAACATTTCAACATAGTTTCATCAGTAATTTCATCAAACACTAACATGTGAACATAGTTTCATCAGTAATCTCCATCAAACACTAACATGTGAACATAGTTTCATCAGTAATTTCCATCAAACACCAACATTTAAACATAGTTTTATCAGTAATCTCCATCAAACACTAACATGTGAACATAGTTTCATCAGTAATTTCTATCAAACACCAACATTTAAACATAGTTTCATCAGTAATTTCCATCAAATACTAACATTTGAACATAGTTTCATCAGTAATCTCCATCAAACACTAACATTTAAACATAGTTTCATCAGTAATCTCCATCAAACACTAATATTTGAACATAGTTTCATCAGTAATTTCCATCAAACACTAACATTTGAACATAGTTTCATCAGTAATCTCCATCAAACACTAACATGTGAACATAGTTTAATCAGTAATCTCCATCAAACACTAACATGTGAACATAGTTTCATCAGTAATCTCCATAAACTATGTTCACATGTTAGTGTTTGCCATCAGTAATTTCCACCAAACACCAACATGTGAACATAGTTTCATCAGTAATCTCCATCACACACTAACATTTGAACATAGTTTCATCAGTAATCTCCATCAAACACTAACATTTGAACATAGTTTCATCAGTAATTTCCATCAAACACTAACATTTAAACATAGTTTCATCAGTAATCTCCATCAAACACCAACATGTGAACATAGTTTCATCAGTAATTTTCATCAAACACTAACATTTAAACATAGTTTCATCAGTAATCTCCATAAACACTAAACCTCAACACTGCTTGTCTTCAGTCATGTTTTTAATCATCAAATTTCCTGGAGTTTTTGTGTTTATTGTTTTAACCTTTCATTATGATTCATCGTGTTGTCTTTCTTTTGTTATTTTTATTGATCCTATGATAGCATGATACTAAATTTTAAACTTATGAATTAGAACTTTCAGTCAAGTTAATTTGAATTTGATTTTTTTTAATCAACTTTTTACGTTAGGGACACACATGTTCCATTATCTGTTCAAATTGTCTCATCCTTCATACAGGTTTCATCCAGCAATCTTCAAGGTCATCATTAGGCCTATGCACCATTGACATACCTAGCTTATTTTCTTTATAATAAAATAAATTATCCTATGTATTTTATAAAAATGGACTACCACAACATCAGTTTCATGGATTCACTAGATTATGCTTTCATTTTCTTACTTTTCTGACATCTCCTGAGGCTTTAACACTTCTTCATGGTAGTCATTCAATACTGTATTGGCAACTGCCAACATTCTCATGGTCAGTCATATTACCATCATTGTACAGTTCGTCGTTGATTCCATTGGATCCAGGTTTCCTGACCTTCTGCTTCTATTACTTCAGCTGGTATGTGTTTCATGATTATTTTCATGCTGTCTTTTGTTTCTCATTTCCTCTTCCTAACATTGATCTGATAGTTCCACTTTCATCTTTCACTGCTTGGATTCCACACGTATGTGTCTTTTGTTTTCTATTTCTCCAGTAATTTTTTGCAGATCTTGGGCTCTGTTGTTGTATGAGTCTCCTCCACCTGAATATTTACTTTAAACTTAACGATCTTTTTGTTTTATGGCTACTTTTTATCCCTCTTCATCTCCTTGTCTTCATCTCTTACTTAAATTCTTTGTTCATTCCTATGCTTCATTGTCATTTGGAGGCTTTCCATCATGACCCTATCAGCTTTACTGCTTGCACACACCTGTTTTTTAACCTTTCCTTGTTAGTCTCAATTGTGTCAGTTCTTTGTTTCTTGGGCATACTTTGTCAGTTTGCTTTACTTTCTGATTTTTGCCTCTCTCAATATCCTCTCCAGGACCTCTGTCTTGCACCTTTACTTTGTTATGTGGTTTTGGGGGTATTTCTTTTACATTAGCATCTTAAGCCGATGCAGCTCTTCAGCAGTCATCTCAGCTCTCTTTGATTTCTTGCTTGTGGGTTGAGAGATGCCACTGGGTTTCTAATCGTATACAGCCTTGTAGAGCTTCCTACGTTTCTGTTCCTTGTGATATATGTGGCTTAAAAGAAATGGCTACTGTGGATATATCTCTGGTTGTTCTTAGTTAATTCTTGATTCTTGTTCAATCTCTGATGTCTCACTTGGCTAACCCTATGATATATATGGATGTGGACCTTAAGTGGCTATTGAACAAGTTCTTGATTCTTGTTATATCCCTGATTGCTTACTTTGTTTGATAATTGTTTTTCAATGTTAAGTATTTATGTAAACTTTATTAGAAATTTTTAAAGGTTTATCTCTAAAGTTAGTAGACTTTAATTTAACGTTAAAAAAAACAACCTTCATACTGCAGATAATTATAAAAGAGCTTTTTATTTTAACCAATGTTTCGCCTTTATGGCTTCATCAGGGTTAATACATACAACTGTTTTTTTCTAACCTTTTATCAAAATGTGTAAATCCTTCCAGTATTCCATACAAATTTTCAAAAACTTGAACTTAAATCAATTTATTTATTAAAATTTACATTAGAATGTAATTCTCATGGTGTTTAAGTGGACTTCATAAAAAACACTCAAGATTTTAATTAGTTAAAGAATTAGCATTTAATAAAAAAATGTGCTATTAATGTAATATGCAGATAATAATAATATTTTTTTTAAAAACCACTCCTAGGTGCTATATTCAATTTGACATAATTCGAAGAATTCTCGAGGACTTTTTTAACATTGATGTTGTTACAGTTATTGGAATAACTGATATTGATGACAAGATCATTACAAGAGCAAGGGAGGTAACTAACTTGTAAAAATCCAAGATGTTCTTATACAAATTTTAAAATGTACTTAAGGGATTAAAAAATTAACATATTCATCACAGATCCTGTGTCACATACAAGGTCAACTTAACATAAATTCAACTTGGATTATGCTTAATTACTTCTGTGATATTACATACTTAAGGCGTTTTTGTGGACAGAAGTTTTATATAAGTATTATTAATACTTTTAGTATCGCATAATTTCCTGTGCTTTAGTTCTTTTATTGTGACAGGGTTTTACACAACTCTGTTTTTCATTTTTTTTTCAGTTAGTAAATTACAGCATTATTCTGTTGTTTTAAAAGTTCACTTTAATTGTTTCAAAAAATTAAAAACAGATATTAATTAGTTTTAAGATTTAAGTTGAAAGTGTATATATAAACAGTAGTTGATCAAAGTATAAGGTTTGAGCTTGTTGTATTATTGTAAAAGACATTATTTGCAGTTCTATATTTACTTCTAAAAGGAATTTTGGTTTTGAAAATAATGTACCTGCTATGTTACAGTAGTTTTGGTTGAAATGCAGAGTTCAATAAGATTTCTTTAGAAATTTAGTTAAATCAAACATGTGACTCATGCAATAATCCTGAGCTCAAAGTTCTTGTAAGAGGTGATACTGATTTCTAATTGATAATCACTAAAAAATTCTGAGAATAAGAACCACTAAAAATGGAGAATTACAAAAGTTTTCTAAAGTTATTAAGAACTTGCTAATAAGTCTGAACAAAACAAGACTAATAAAATGCTAAGCCTATTCCAATACTACTCTGCATAACTTTCATATTCATACCTAAGCCTATTTCAACCCTATACTGCATAACTTTCACATTCAGGCCTAAGCCTGTTTCAACCCTACTGCACATTTATTAATTTCAAATTTTATATTCAACTCTCTCCACCGTTTTGTTTTTATAAATGAGGAAAAAATCTGAGAAGAATTTCATCCTGGAGTTGGTTATTCTCAAAAGCTTCACCTAACAATGTCTATAGTGATTGTTTAGTCTTTTGTCTCTCTTTTTTCAGACCTTATTTAATAATTAGTTCTCTAAATTTGCATTAAAGATTCAGTCCTACTTACATGTGTTTTCAAGATAGTTAAACATGAAGACAGGTTTCTGTAATGTTTTAGCAATAGAGTCAGCTTTCATTTTCATTTTGAGCCATTAATGTAAAGATATATTTTAGAATTGATCAGGAGATGTGACTATTAATAATTTTTCTTAATTGAGAAATATGTTTTGTTTTATATTTTGGTCTAGACTAATATTCTATTCTCGTTTTTGATGGAAATTCTTACCATATAAGATGAAATTCAAAACAATGAATTGACCAATTTTTGTCTCAAATAAAAATATGTTGGTAAAAGAAGGTGTTATTATAAGAATATGTAACATCATTGTTCAGTTTTAGCTTTTTAAAGAGTCACACTCGTAATTCTAATAATTTTTCCATCCATAGTCCAATGTTACTATTGAACACATAACAAAATTTTACGAGCAAGAATTTTTTCATGACATGGAGAACCTGAAAGTGAAACCTCCTTCAGTTATAACTCGTGTCACACAACACGTTCCACGTGTCTTGGAGTTTTGTCAGAAGCTAATTGATAATGGAAGTGCATATGTAACAAAAAGTGGTAAGTTTTCAAGTAATTGGTAGTAGTAGTAGTAGTAGTAGTTGCATATGGTGTTTCTCACACCTCCAAATTCTTTTTGGAGGTGTGTGTATCCAGGAGTAGGACTGGCATCCTAGTCCGGACACCGGGTGACCATGTTTTGGTGTGACAGGGATTCGAACTATTTGTTTGTGTGGGTAATTTTTATGTAGGGGGCCTATTTGTTTTTGTGGGTATTTTTTGTATGTAGGTGGCCTATTTATATGAGTGTGTAGGTAATTTTTATGTAGGTTGCCTGTTTGGTTTTATTAGTATTTTTATGTCGGTGGCCTATTTGTTTTGTGGGTAATTATTATGTAGGTGGCCTATTTGTATGAGTGTGTGGGTAATTTTTATGTAGGTGGACTATTTTATTTTGTTAGTATTTTTATGTAGGTGGCCTATTTGGTTTTGTTAGTATTTTTATGTAGGTGGCCTATTTGTTTTTGTGGCTAGATGTTATGTAGGTGGCTTATTTGTTTTTGTGGGTATTTTTTATGTAGGTGGCCTATTTGTTTTTGTGGCTAGATGTTATGTAGGTGGCCTATTTTTGTTTGTAGGTATTTTTTATGTATGTGGCCTATTTGTTTTGTGGGTAATTTTTATGTAGGTGGACTATTTGGTTTTGTTAGTATTTTTATGTAGGTGGCCTATTTGGTTTTGTTAGTATTTTTATGTAGGTGGCCTATTTGTTTTTGTGGCTAGATGTTATGTAGGTGGCCTATTTTTGTTTGTAGGTATTTTTATGTAGGTGGCCTATTTGTTTTTGTGGCTAGATGTTATGTAGGTGGCCTATTTTTGTTTGTAGGTATTTTTATG